CTTTGGCCTCCCAAAATTTTGGAATTACAGGCTGAGCCACTGTCCCAGGCCTACACTGTGCATCTTAAAGCAGACCAAGCTTCTCTTTGGTGCTGTCCAGTTTATTCATCTCAAAGAATCATTATTCCCTTCTGCCCCTCCTGGGCTGTCCATCCTAAAACTATCTGCTTCCCTCTAGCTGTTCAGAGCTTCTCCATCCCAGACATGCCACTCATTGGTGGTGTGGTTTCCTGCTAGAGAACAGTCTCCTTCTCCATCTTGACCTTCCTTAGCATGGCCATTCCCATACATGTTAGCAAGAGCTGACCAGTGAAGAGGGCAGGAAAAGGATGGCCAGCACTAGACCAGAGAATTCTTAGATTTTTAAATTCCTGGGGAACTCTTCTGTCTTCTAAGTAAAGTTTGAACAGCTCTATGTGCTGTATTGTACAGAACCATTTTATCTTATTTTATTTTATTTTATTTATAAAGATGAGAGTCTTGCTATGTTGCCCAGGCTAGTCTCCTACCTTGGCCCTTCCAAAGGGATTACAGGTTTGTACCACAGTGCCTGGCTAGAAGCATTTTTTTAAAACAACCTTTAATAATATACATTTATCAAATCTTATCAGTTTTTTTCTGTGATTTACATGGATCTAAAGCTTTCAGGTACAATACCTGCTTTACAGTCTGCCATGTGACTAGATTATCAATCAAACCAAAGTATTTCATCCTATTAGATGATGGTCAAATATTATACTTCCCCCACCCCCGGATTTCCTGAAAAATATACTGATAATATGTACTGTTTCTAACATCTGCTGTAGATTCTGGGATCTCTTTGATGGATATTATTAAAAGGCTTAATTTACAGGTTTTAATGCTTTTTTGGCATAGATGAAATATGTCATTCTCTCTTAAACACAACCTACTTTTATACCGTAAAAGATATTAAATATTGGACATATTTCTATTATGTGTTAAGCAAAATGGAATCCAATTGTTATCTATACCTCTGGGACTTACCTTTGCCACTTACTAGTGACTGATCTTGGTCAAACTACATTCTTGAAACCTCTTTACCTATTAAATGGTTATAATGGTACTTAATTTTTTTTGACAGCTGATACAATAAAGAATGTGAAATGTCATCACGTAGTTAATGGAAATTTTAGATTCCATTCTTCTCCTTGCTTCCTTCTGATTCCTAAATATATAGAGATTTATTGAAAATTTCCTATTCTTGACTTTTTTTTTTTTTTTTTAGTTGGAGCCTCACTCAATTGCCCAGGCTGGAGTGCAGTGGCACGCTCATAGATACTGCAGCCTCGACCTGCTGGGCTCAGGTGATCCTTCCGCCTCAGCCTTCCAAGTAGCTGGAACTACAGGCACTCACCACCATGTCCTGCTAATATTTTGATTTACTGTAAAGACAAGGTCTTACCAATTTGCCCAGGCTGGTCTCGAACCCCTGGACTCAGGCAGTCCTCTCGCCTTGGCCTCCCAAAGTGCTGGGAATACAGACTTTGGGAACCCAACCTGACTTTTTTTTTTTTTTTTTTGAGTTAGAGTCTCACTCCGTGGCCCAGGCTAGAATGCAGTGACATGCTCACGGCCACCCCATCATCAACCTGCTGGGCTCCGGTAATCCTTCTGCCTCAGCCTTCCAAGTAGCCGGAACTACAGGCACGCGCTACCACGCCTGGCTAATTTTTAATTTATTGTAGAGATGAGGTCTCGCCAAGTTGCCTGGACTGGTCTCAAACTCAGGGGCGCAGGCAATCCACTTGCCTTGGGCTCCCAAAGTGCTGGGATTACAGGCTGAGCCACCGAGCCCAGACCTTTTTTTTTTTTTTTTTTTTTTTTAAACTATAAACTGTTTTGGTTGTCTTATTTAGCATCTCAAAATAGTTGAAAAGGGAAATTCAAAGCCCACACTTAAAGTGGTGAAATGGGCATTAGAGAGATCTGGCCTCTCATCTCACCAAATCTGGATTGCATTTGAAAAGATATTGGCTCAGAATAGGAATCTGAAATAGGAAGCATGAAAACAGGTACTGTTTACATACTCTTCAAAAAGCACTTTTTTTGCGTCTGAGTCTCACTGTGTCACCCAGACTGTAGTGCACTGGCATGTTCATGACCATCACAGCCTCAACCTTCCAAGGAGCTGGAACCACAGGAACATGCCATCATGCCTAGCTAATTTTTCTTGATTTATTGTAGAGATGAGGTCTTACCATGTTGCCCAGACTAGTCTCGAACCCATGGACTCAGGTAATCCTCTCACCTCAGCCACCCAAAGTGCTGGGATTATAGGCATGAGCCACCACGCCTGGTCTCAAAAAAGTACTTTTTTTTTTTTTTTCCAATTTTTTGAGTTGGAGTCTCACTCTGTCACCCAAACTGGAGTGCAGTGGCTGCTCCCAGCCACCGCAGCCTCGACCTGCAGGGCTCTGGCGATCCTTCCACCTCAGCCTTCCAAGTAGCTGGAACTACAGGCACGCGCTACCACGCCCAGCTAATTTTTTTTTATTGTAGAGATGAGGTCTCACCAAGTTG